AATAACCCCCATATGTGTTTTAGCTATGCTTACATTGCAGTTTCACTGGTGATTTCTGTTAGTTAACTGGCGCATGCATAAAAACATTGAAGATTTGAGAGCAGACTTAGCATTTATGGCACATGCAATAAGACTTTTCATATGCAAACATATTTTGCAATGAAGGAGGACATAATGCATAATCTTGGCCTTTGAACTAGCAATATAATTGTACAATAAATCGTGAGTTTTTCATTTTTGATAGTTTTACACCTGTTATCGTAGGTTTTAGTTCCTGTAATAAAATACAGCTCTAAGTGAGAAAAAAGGGAAAAGGGTGGGTTCTGCCAATACTTCTAACCTTAGTGGTCTATTAACTCATCCTCAGTATGTCTTAACGTATTCTTGCTATGATGTTTCTGCCCAATACACTCGCCAGAGTTCCCATATCCTATCATAATGATCTCTCTTCCCCTGAATGGCCCAATGGACTTCTTCAAGTTCTCTCAAAGCTTCCACTCTAAAAATCCATTGTTCTTTATTCGGAATACTAGATTTAAGCCAATACAACGGGATCAACGCATTTGCCTTATTCAATAAGAAACTCAGCAATATCTGTTTGTTATTCTCCTAAAAGGAAGCTGGACATCCCAATAGAATCTTGGATGGAGATAATTGATCAGGCATTGATAACATTTTATAAATGACACTCAGTACCTGTAACCAGTAGCTCCTAATAAGTTTGCACTCCCATCATATATGTTCCATATTCGCCACTCTCTCGCCACATCTCCAACAGCCATCCGAAGCCGGTGCACCCAATTTTTTAAGTCGATCTGGAGTATTGTACCATCTAGTGACTTTTTAAAAAAAATATAATTTTCCTAGGAGTGCTCACCTGGGCTTTCATCCCCATTTTGAACACAAATGACCAATCATTGCTGGTCATTTGGATGTTCAAACCTTGCATCCACTTCAATTGGAATGAAGGGACAGTCTTCTCCATAGCTCCCTTATGAATTAAACTATATATACTGGACAGGTAACCTTTTTTCTCTATTCCAGGACCAAACTCTGTTCTCTCTCTCGTCTGCCAATATGGTAACACTTTTTGGTTTATAAAAAACTTTAAGTACATAATACCCATTCTATCTATAAGAGCTGTCATATTGTCCCATGAAGGGAACTCTCTTAATCTGTTCGGTGTTTCATCTGTTATTAAACTTGAAACTGAAGGGTCTGCATCTCCTGTTAACTTTTCCAACAGTTTATGACCCGGCCCAGAATGGAAATCCACGTTAGATGCTATTGGGGGGATAGCCCCCATCTATCTTTAAGCCTTCTCCAAATCTGTATGGTGTGGTTTATAATTGGGTGTTTAGAGGGTGATAGTAATTTTAATTTACAGTTCTGCCAAGGCAGTGTCTCCAACTTAACCTTAATAAAATCCTGTTCTATCTTATACCAAGGCTTCCCCCTATCTATAGCCATCCATTCTCTAATTCGCGCACATAATACCGCAACATAGTATGTATAGATATGCGGGAGACCCAAGCCACCTCTCTGAACAGGTAGTGTCAATATATTATACGCAATACGTGGAGTTTTACGATTCCATATAAATGAAAGGAATGTAGATCGCGGTTTTCTAAAGAAGTCTCTCGGCAGTGAGACCGGCAATGTCTGAAATAGGTATAATATCTTAGGTAAAATCATCATTTTTATAATATTTACTCTCCCAATCAATGAGAAAGAGGCCTGATTCAATTCTTTTAGATCTTCTTCAATCTTTCTCAATAATTTTCCATAATTCAATTTAAATAAATCTTTTAACTGTTTTGTCAGTTGTGTCCCTAGGTATGTTATACTAGTGTCTGTCCACTTATATTTATATAGCTTTTGTAATTCCTCTTTAATTCCTGTATTTATCCCCACTCCCAGTATTTCAGACTTATCTGAATTTACTTTAAAATTAGATAAGCCACCGAATTTCTCCAATTCCTCATGGACATAAGGAAATGTATATCCGGGTTCTATAAGCATAAATAACACGTCATCAGCAAAAGCAGTTACTTTGACCTCTCCTCCCGTATACTGATATCCTTTAATGTCCATATTCTTCCGTATGGCTTCTAATAAAGGTTCAAATGCTAAAACAAAAAGAAGAGGGGACAATGGGCAGCCCTGACGGGTGCCGTTGCTAATAAAAAAAGGGTTGGAAAGTTGACCATTAACACGGACATTAGCAGAAGCGCCTCTATACAATGTGTGTACCCAATTGCAGAATCTTTGGCCAAGCCCCCATGCCTCTAGAGTTGCAAACAGATAGGACCGATCCACCCTGTCAAAGGCCTTCTCAGCATCTATAGTTAACAGAGCTGTAGGACTTTTATTTATTATAGCTCCATGTATTACATTCAAGATTTTAGTAGTATTCTCTCTGGCTTCACGGCCAGAGACAAAGCCAGATTGATCAGGGTGGATCAGTGCAGGCATAAGGGGCTTAAGCCTATTTGCCAAGAGTTTTGCAAATATTTTTAAGTCAACATTAATAAGAGAAAACGGTCTATAACTACTGCATATTTCTGGATCTTTCCCTTCTTTATGTATCACAGCAATTACTGCTCTCAACATTGATGGCGGAATGTCCATAGTTGGAAATAGACCATTAAAAGTTCTAAGAAAATGTGGCTCAAGAATATTATGGAATTGTTTATAATAACCTGCCGAGAGACCTTCTGGCCCAGGGCTTTTATTAAGAAAGCTCCTGAAGGGAAAACAATTCCTCCAATTGGGCTGATGTTTCTTTAGAAATTTTTAATGGAATATTTTTAGATAGATATTGTTCTCTTTCATATGGGGTCTTCTCAAGGAGCTTTAAATTATAAAGGTCTTTGTAATAATTTCTGAAAGTGTTTGCTATTTCCTCAGTAGTATTACAAATTTTCCCTTGTTTATCTTTAATTTTGGGTATATATGTTTTTTGTAACTTTACTTTTAAGGCTTTAGCTAACAAGTTCCCACTTTTATCCCCATGTGTGTAGATTGTACTTTGTGTCAACTGGACCGCTCTTTGGGCCTCATAAGTCAATAATGACCTCAGCTTAGATCTAATTGCCAATAAACATTTAAAATTTTCTTCGGTTGGAGTTTGCTTATGCATAGACTCCAGTGTATCCAATTTTTTTATGAGCCTTTGTATTTCTTCGGCTTGTTCCTTTTTACATCTGGCACCCCATTTAATTAAGACCCCCCGGATCACACTCTTATGTGCTTCCCATATCCATGATTCATTAATATCGTCTATACAATTATCTAAAAAAATATTGTCGTCAAGAAGAGACTCATTTAATCTCCATATGTTATAACCCTTCCCATCGCCTTGCAGTTCAATATCCAGGAAAATGGGGGCATGGTCAGACCACGTAATATTTCCTATTTTTGCCCCCTTTACCAAATGTAGATATCTATGATTTGCAAAAAACATGTCTATCCTAGAATAGCTATCTGCAGCCGATGAGTAAAAAGTGTAATCCCTTTCACACTGAAGGAAAATACGCAAGCAATCAATCAATTGGTAGGAGTGCAAAATTTTTAGGACTAACGACCTCTGACTCTTTTGTGTTTCTCTCATATTTGAAGAACTCTCCACTGTATAATCTAACACCATATTACAATCCCCACCAATTATCAAAACTCCTTCCTTGAAATCTTCCAATTTCCTTAAACATGTTTTCAAGAAAGATGCTTGGCTAGCATTTGGCACATATATATTTGCAAGCGTGATCATTTTGCAAGCGTGTTCAGCTTCCCTCGATTCAATTTACTATCTGATTGGGCAAAGTTCAAATCAGAGTTTAACCCCTTCAGGACGGTGACGGACGAGGTCCGTCATCCTGGGGATGCCCTTAACGACGGGTGACGGACCTCGTCCGTCACGCGGTAAAATTAACCCCGCGATCGCCGCAGTGCCGGCGATCGCGGGGTTAACGCTGTTGCTGGGTGCCTCCGAGTCAGGGGCAGACCAGCAACAGCAAATCGCAATGTCCCAGCACATGTGATCGCTGTGACAGCCAGTCACAGCGGTCACAATGCTGCTGGGACATCTGATCCGCCTCCCTCCACCTCTTGTGGGTTTGTGAAGTGGAGAGAGACGGATCGGTGCTACATTGTTTCCCTGAATATTAGTTAAGTTATAATAAAAATTTCCTATCCCTTTCCCCTGTCAAAAAAAAAAAATTAACCCTTTCCCTGCTGCTTGATCACTGCTAGCAGTGATCAATATACAGGTCACAGTACTTTACTGTGATCTATTTTTTTTTTTACACTTAAAGGTTAAATTTTATTTAATTTTTTGTAACCCTAAGGGGTTCAATTTTATTATTTTATTTTATTAATTTGTGATTTAGTTAGTTGGGTGGGTGGAATTTAGTGTTAATTGGGGAATTTAGTTAGGGGTAAAAAAAAAAAAAAAAAAAAAGTTTAGTTATTTAGTTAAAGTTTTCTTGTTTCTGTGTTAACTGTATTAACAATGTTGCGAAAGTATAGCGGAGAGGAGGCTTATGCCCTGTTAGCCGCTGACTCAGAGGCGACCGACACTGCCTCAGAGAGTGACGCAGGGGACAGGGACTATGTGCCAGATTCTGCAGTAACATCAGAGGAAATCGCTGATTCCCCTAATGTTCAATATGGCACAGATGACTGGGTACCCCCTAATCATTTTTCGCCAGACATCCCAGTGTTCACTGCCAATCCTGGCATACAGGCTGACCTGTCTGGCTATAATGCGCTGGATTGTATGGAGCTGTTTTTGGGGGATGATTTTTTGGGGGAGGTAGTTACCCAGACAAATCTGTATGCGGAGCAATATCTTGCACGCAACCAAGACTCCCGAATCGCCAGGACAGAGAGATGGTACCCAACCAGTGTGCCAGAAATTAAACAATTCTGGGCACTGACAATGTTAATGGGGATAGTTAAAAAGCCCACAATTAGAATGTATTGGACTAAAAATCCTATTTTTAATACCCCCATTTTTTTCCAGACAATGCATAGGGAGCGATATGAGGACATACTGTGTTTTATGCACTTTAATGACAATATGAAGTGCCCCCCAAAAGGTCATCCGCAGTATGACATTCTTTATAAAATACGCCCCCTAATTTCCCACTTAAATGAAAAATTTGCCACTATTTACACCCCCAAAAAACACATTTCCATTGACGAGTCCCTCATGAAGTTTAAAGGAAGACTGGGATTTAGACAATATATCCCATCCAAAAGATCCCGGTATGGGATCAAATTTTATAAATTATGTGAAAGTGGCAGTGGCTATGTATACACCTTCCGTGTATATGAAGGAAGGGATAGCCACATTGATCCCCCAGGTTGCCCAGATATAATAGGGACAAGTGGGAAAATTGTCTGGGATTTAATAATGCCCTTACTTAACTATGGTTATCACTTATACATCGATAACTTTTATAACAGCATCCCACTCTTACAAATGCTGTACTGTTTTGAGACCGTGGCCTGTGGCACTATCAGGAAGAGTCGCACAGGTTTCCCAAAGGCTCTAGCAGAAAAAAAATTAAAAAGGGGGGAAACAGCAGCTCTCTGCCAGAATGAACTGCTGGCACTCAAGTACCGCGATAAAAAGGAGGTTTTCATCCTAACTACCATCCATGGGGAAAACACTCGCAGGGTCGCAGTTCGTGGCAGAGAGGAATATAAACGGGTGCCAGTCTGCATACAGCAATATAATCGGCATATGGGGGGAGTTGATCTGTCCGATCAACTAATGCAGCCGTATTTAATCATGCGGAAAACCAGGGCATGGTATAAAAAAGTGGGCATATATATAATGCAGACGGCAGTCCACAATGCCTTTATCATTTTTAAAAAGGCAAATGCTGAGCTGAAATGCACATTCCTTTCATTTCAATTTCAGCTCATTTCTGGGTTACTTGAGTGCCACAGAGGGGGACAATCAGTGGAGCCTAGCAGAAGAATGGAGGCAGGTCACTTCTGCTTCAAGATTCCATCAACCTCCAGAAAGAAAAACCCCCAGAAAAGATGCAGGGTGTGTTACAAGAGGGGCGTAAGAGTTGAGACTAGCTATTACTGCCCTGATTGCCCCTCTCAGCCCGGCCTATGTATTGGCCACTGTTTTAAAGTTTTCCACACCCAGGCCGAATAAGCAGTTTTGGGGTGTGAATTTAGTCAACTGTCTGGTTACCAAATCTTGGCTTTGTCTCCCGTTTATCCTGTCTTCTCTGATCCTTGACCTCGGCTTGTCCTATCGTTGTTCCGTTTCTCTTTACCCCTTTGACCTCGGCTTGTACCTTGACTACCTTGACTATTCTCTGCTTGTATAGCCCGGCCATTCTAAGGACCGGTATTACAAGTGTCTCTCTCTGTGTTCTCTCTCTTTGTAGTCTGTCTGTGTTTTGGAATCCGTGACAGCGTTGCCCGTGACACAGATCACTGGGTACTACCCCCAGATAGGATTAAGCCAACTATTCCCCCTTTTCACAGCAAATAGTATGCACTTGTTCATAATTTGAATTGATGAGCTGCTTATACTTAAAAATATATGTGGTCTTTGAGAGGTAATTTGCAGTCCTGGGCTGCTAAAATAACACTTTGGCCCAGCATCCACTTTTGAAAAATATGAAAGTGATGTGTCTCCAAGGTGCCCCTTCAACATCCACATATCCCTGAAAAAGGTACACATGGGGGTATTGCTGCACTAAGAGGACATAGCTGAGCAACATATTAGGTGTTCTACTGCCATAGCACACATAAGGATTACAAAATATACAGTAACAACTCCAAGTGTGTGTCAAAAAGGCAGAAAAAAATGCTCATTGTAACTAGACTTGGTACAAACTAACAAAAAAATGATCCAACGCTAAGGTTTAAAATATGCCTTTTGAAATGCCCTGGGGTGTCTACTTTAAAAAATGGTAGGCCTTTGTGGGGTAATTTGAACTTAAAACCTGCTAAGATGCTTGGAAATTGCACATGGGCCGAGCGTCAAAATTCAAAGTTCGGTAAAAACTGATATGGCTTGGTCTCCAATGTGCCCCTTCAACATCCACATATCCCTGAAAAGGGTACACATGGGGGTATTGCAGCATTAAGAGGACATAGCTGAGCAACATATTAGGTGTTCTACTGCCATAGCACACATAAGGATTACAAAATATACAGTAACAACTCCAAGTGTGTGTCAAAAAGGCAGAAAAAATGCTCATTGTAACTAGACTTGGTACAAACTAACAAAAAAATGATCCAACGCTAAGGTTTAAAATATGCCTTTTGAAATACCCTGGGGTGTCTACTTTAGGAAATGGTAGGCCTTTGTGGGTTTTTTTGAACTTTCCAACTGCAATAATGTCCCAAATTGAAGCATAGGCCAATTAAATCCATCTCTCAAAATTGTACTGTAAATACTGAAATGGATAGGTCTCCTATATGGCACTGTAACTTCACGAAATAGTGCCAAAGACATACAATGGGGGTGTCATTTTACTCAGAAGACTTAGGTGAGCATAATTTGGGGGGTTTGAACTTAGTGGCACATGTGAAATACACAAAATGCCTAGCAAAAATGCAATCCATATGTAAAAAACGCACAAAATTATTTTTTACCACATAATTTGGCATATATTGGTGAAAAAATGGGAGCACGTTAAGGCACAATATGCACCTTATGAGATACCCTGGAGTGTCTACTTTTACAAATGGTAGGCCTTTGTGGGTTTTTTTGAACAGTCAAACTGTTATAATACCCCAAATGGACGCATAGGCTCATTAAATCCGTCTCTCAAAATTCTACTTTGAATACTGAAAAGGATAGGTCTCCTATATGGCACTGTAACTTCACGAAATAGTGCCAAAGACATACAATGGGGGTGTCATTTTACTCAGAAGACTTAGCTGAGCATAATTTGGGGGGTTTGAACTTAGTGGCACATGTGAAATATACAAAATGCCCAGCAAAAATGCAATCCATATGTAAAAAACGCACAAAATTATTTTTTACCACATACTTTGGCATATATTGGTGAAAAAATGGGGGCATGTTAAGGCACAATATGCACCTTATGAGATACCCTGGAGTGTCTACTTTTACAAATGGTAGGCCTTTGTGGGGGTTTTTTTGAACAGTCAAACTGTTATAATACCCCAAATGGAAGCAAGGCTCATTAAATCCGTCTCTCAAAATTCTACTGTGAATACTGAAAAGGACAGGTATCCTATATGGCACTGTAACTTCACGAAATAGTGCCAAAGACATACAATGGGGGTGTCATTTTACTCAGAAGACTTAGCTGAGCATAATTTGGGGGGTTTGAACTTAGTGGCACATGTGAAATATACAAAATGCCCAGCAAAAATGCAATCCATATGTAAAAAACGCACAAAATTATTTTTTACCACATATTTGGCATATATTGGTGAAAAAATGGGAGCATGTTAAGGCACAATATGCACCTTATGAGATACCCTGGAGTGTCTACTTTTACAAATGGTAGGCCTTTGTGGGGTTTTTTGAACAGTCAAACTGTTATAATACCCCAAATGGACGCATAGGCTCATTAAATCCGTCTCTCAAAATTCTACTTTGAATACTGAAAAGGACAGGTCTCCTATATGGCACTGTAACTTCACGAAATAGTGCCAAAGACATACAATGGGGGTGTCCTTTTACTCAGAAGACTTAGCTGAGCGTAATTTGGGGGGTTTAAACTTAGTGGCACATGTGAAATATACAAAATGCCTAGCAAAAATACAATCCATATGTAAAAAAACGCACAAAATTATTTTCTACCACATAATTTGGCATATATTGGTGAAAAAATGGGAGCATGTTAAGGCACAATATGCACCTTATGAGATACCCTGGAGTGTCTACTTTTACAAATGGTAGGCCTTTGTGGGTTTTTTTTGAACAGTCAAACTGTTATAATACCCCAAATGGATGCATAGGCTCATTAAATCCGTCTCTCAAAAATCTACTGTGAATACTGAAAAGGACAGGTCACCTAAATGGCACTGTAACTTCACGAAATAGTGCCAAAGACATACAATGGGGGTGTCATTTTAATCAGCAGATGTAACTGAACACAAGATAAAACTTTGTACAGGAATAGCACACACCAACTTTACAAAATAAACATGAGAAGTTCTTTGTTATAAGTTTGTGTGCCAAAAACCCCAAAAAACTAAATTTTACTCCAATATTTAGCAGAGGTTGGCGGTGAAATGGCTATGTAGAATGTGTCAAAACCACCTTAGGTAAATAGCCTGTGATGTCTACATTATATAAATATATACTTTTGTGTGGCAATTTTGTTTTCTTTTATGGCTATTAGGCTTACAAGACAAACATACCAAATTCTAAAATCGCTCCACATTAAAAGTTTATTTTACTCCTTGTGCTTTGTGACCTGTAACTACCAAAAAACTGAAAATCCCAGACACATTATATATTCTGTAAATCAGAACAAATAAATAAATTTATTTTTAATTACTTTCCTTAACCTGCACTAATTATGCACACATTATTATTGCAAAAACTGTAAAAAAAAACAATATTTTTCATTTTTTTTGCATTTTTCTGTATTTGTTTTATAATAAGCAAGCATTTATATATATATGTTATATCAAATTAAAGCCCTTTCTATCCTTTAAAAAACAGTATATAATATGTGTTGGTGCAATAAATGAGAGAGATGCAAATTGCAGTTGAACGCAAACAGCAAGAAAATCCAAAAATTGCTTGTGTCATTAAGCGTAAGTCAAGCTTCTGAAGCTGTGTCCTTAAGGGGTTAAGAGAATTGCCACTCCTCTAGACTTGCCTTTCATAGAGTTGCTATAGAAAGTCTGGTTAAATTTATTCGTATTAAGTCTAGGCTGAAAAGTGTTTTTATAGTGAGTTTCTTGAATAAATACAATATCTTTTTTTTGCCTTTCTAACTCCTGTACCAGGATAGAGCGTTTCCTTGGGGAATTCAGACCATTAATGTAAGACATACAACTAATCTGTACCATAGAAACAGTAGAAAAATTCAATTTCTACGGCTACTGAATTCAAGCCAATTACCACTTCTCCCATATTTATACAGAAAAAAAAAAAAAATGAATATGAAGTCTTAATATAAGTGCTATATCCAAAATAGGATAAGATGCCACCCCTGTTGGAGACCCATTTGTGTCTACAAGACATATCGGCATCTTCCTAAGAGGGGGAAGAGAGAGGGAGGGAAAGGTAGATGGGGACAGAGTTATAAGCTAATTTATCAGGAGACCTCCATAAGTATTCTAAATTGCCCTAATACGTCATATCGTGCTAGCATGCTTCACAGGGCCTTCTAATGTTGTTAAGGCAATCATTCCCTAATGGTCTCAGCAGTTTTTTTATTTTTTGTTTTGCTTTGCCATTTGGGTTTTTGTATCTCTTCCAGTGGAGGAATACCTGAAAGACCTGTCCAGTCTTCGATCTCAATATGAGGGAGCCCCAGAGCTTGTACAAAATCTGGTATGTCTGCTGGTGTCTTTATCGTATATGTTTTGGAGTGTTGAAAGACCATTAGAGCAAATGGATAGTTCCACCGATATTTTATTTGTTTCTGTCCTAGTAAAAGAGTGATCGATCTTAAAGCCTTACGTGCCATTAAGGTTGAAGGAGAAAGATCTTCAATAGAATATTCATCGAATTTAATTTCCTTCATAAGTCGGGCTTTCTGTACTATCTCTTCTTTTAATAAAAAGTTGTGGATGCAGCAGATTAAATCTCAAGGATTTTCTTGTGGTGGATTTCTTGGTCTTCCTACTCTATGTGCTCTATCAAGTTTAATCTTTGAGTCCGAAGATCTTCCTAAAATCTGATTGAAGATACGAATAAGAATCTTTGTAGGGTCTTCTCTTTCATCCTGCATGGTTTCAGGGACCCCTCTTATCCGTAAATTATTTTGTTTTCCCTGATTATCAATATCCTCTAGTTTCCTTTTGTAAGGACAAAATAGCTTCTGTCTGCAAAGAGCAGAATAGAGACTGTTCCCCCTACATAGG